TCCAAACTACAAAGTAAGAAAGTGTGACACTCACCAAAAGCTAAACCTAATAGAACATTTTAATATTGGCTCATAAGGTGTCGTAACATGTCAGGAGCATATAATTAAACTGAGCAGAAGGACTGGAAAACAAAAAACAGCTGTGAAAGAGTCAAAACTACAGTTCAAATGTCCTAATGAAGGTTGGTTGCAAAGCCAAATCTATGCACACAGCTTCCACACAGGCTGGCTGACTGACTGGATGGATGGAAAAATATATGGATTGGCAAAACTCACCTGTTTTACATTTTATTACAATGTAAAAAATAGTTACCTTTGTTTTTTGAATGTTTTTAAGTCAGCATCCAGTATAACTGTCCAGCGATCCATGCTTCCATCTTGCTAACCAGGCTAGCCTGCCAGATAGCATAAGCCAATAACTTTGTCCAAATATGCCCCCCACCCCCGGTTTCAAAGGGAAACAGAATGCCAAACTTAGAATTTTAAAACAGTAATCCACAAACCATTAGATGGTACGTTGTCACAGTGGCTATTGCCATCATACAAATTTATATACAATATAAATAACAGGTCAAAGATGCTGAATACTCCACCCACTGCACCACACGGTGTGTTCACCACAAAGGTTTCCTTATTATTTGTTGCAAACTACTGTTGACTGTAAACGCTCAGAGAATCAGGGCGTGAAGCTCTCAGAGGAGGCTGTGACTGTGTGGCCTCACCACTTGGCAAAAAGCTTACAGCCCTACAGCAGAGTCCAACACCAACACCAACAGGATGACAGGCCAAGTTATGGTAATAACCTCTCAGTGTGTCAAATCTCATTTTAAAGTGGCACTAAAACGTGTCCTACCGCTGGATTATAAAATGCATTTAACAGGTAAACAAAAGACGAATGACAATAACAAAAAAGGGGATGAGACCTCATCTACTATTGTAGCCACAGACCCCCTCTGGAGAAATAAATATAGACACAGAAAGACTGGCACATGTGGATAAATGTCATCTCAGCCTCTACAGTATTCCTTCTCTCACGGTGCCATCTACATTTTTTGACCCATTCCTTTAAATCTACAGATTTGTAACCACATTGCTCCAAGATATTCAAGAATTTAAATATTTTCCCCAACGGTCACGGCCAGTGCAAACTCTACAGTGATCTAAAAGTTGTAAAGTTTGTAATCAGGTAAAAAGAAAAATATTAGAAGAGCATTCAAATAATGTATTTTTCTGCCAGTGAATATCAAAAGAAAGGCATCTTGGATGGTTGATAGTATAAAGAAACAAGAACAAAAGCAGATGATGGATGTTAAAAAAAATCTTTTCTTTTTTAGTGACATTGTATCACATCCTACAGCTCTACTGCTCATGATGAGATGTCTGGCACAGCCTCTCCTCCTATTAGTCCAAAGAAGCTGAAGAGGAGATAATGGAAGAAGTTAAAAAGTAGATCTCTGCGCAGACTGAGCAAACAAAGTTGTGAAGTTTGACATTCTTTGGCTTCCTCTGGTAAAACTGTTTGAACAGCACTGAATTTGAAGCTTTTGGC